ATATTCAGATCAACTCTAGGAAGGAACACAGGGACCTTGCTTAAGAATGATAGTCACATCTATTATCATCATTTTTCCTTCCTCTGAGGGATCTTAATATGTTGCTTTCAAGCAAGGAATGCTCAAGAGACATAAGAAAACACAAGTCAGGGCGCCTGGGTGGCTCAGTGGGTTAAGCCGCTGCCTTCGGCTCGGGTCATGATCTCAGGGTCCTGGGATCGAGTCCCGTATCGGGTTCTCTGCTCGGCAGGGAGCCTACTTCCCACTCTCTCTCTCTCTCTCTCTCTCTCTCTGCCTGCCTCTCTGTCTACTTGTGATCTCTCTCTGTCAAATAAATAAATAAAAATAAAATCTTTAAAAAAAAAAAGAAAAAGAAAACACAAGTCAAACTGTCTTAAGCAAAAGGGGAATTTCTGACTCAGATAACAGAACAAATTGACTCCAAGGTCTGTCCAATCTGATGTCCAAATGGATCAGCAGAATCCTGTTTCTTCTGAAATTACTCCATTCTCATGCTGGCCGTTCCCTTATGAAGTAGAGTTCCCTTATGAAGTAGAGTCCTTTGAGAAGCAGATGCCAAGATGGAATTAGACACAGTGATGATTTGGGTCTTCATGAATCAATGTCAGCTCAGGCCCTGCATATAAAAGTCCTCAAAATATGAGGTATTCCTCTTTTTCCATGTTACAGTAACTCTGGTAAATAATTGCAGTGAATGGGGATGGACTGGGAGAATCATTATAGTATATTTTTGATGCAGTTGTTTGTGGAGTCCCTTCTAGAACCCAGACGCTTCTTCAGTCAATGAATTCTGGATTTGAAAATTGGCTCAAGTTTGGAAGCTGAGCAAGGGATTGAAACTTTTTACTGGAGCTATGCCCTCAACCTCCTGCTCTTCCGTTCCTACCTTTTTCTGACTGTGGATTAAGCAACACCCTTGCTTGATGGCCCTCTATTCTACCCCAAGGAATGCCATGTTCTTTTAACCATCTCCTATGATTCAAGCCCCCACTTGCTGACCCTCTGACTTTGGCTGTTCTTTTGATTATTGTGGCCTTCTGAATTCTTGTGTTTAAGAACCACCATTTGGCCATTCTTACTTTGGGAGCTCTATCATTCCCCTTGGCTATAAGCAAGCCCAGCTCCCTTATTTTACTGCTTCTACTATCCGTCTTGACCTGCATTGGAGAGCCATCACTAAACACTAGTGCCCTCTTAGCAGCATGTTTCTTTCTTTCTTTTCTTTTTTTTTTTTTTAAGATTTTATTTATTTATTTGACACAGAGAGAGAGATAGCAAGAGCAGGAACACAAGCAGGGGGAGTGGGATAGAGAGAAGCAGGCTTTCCGCAGAGCAGGGAGCCTGATGTGGGGCTTGATCCCAGGACCCCAGGATCACAACCCAAGCCGAAGGCAGATACCTAATGACTGAGCCACCCAGGCACCCAAGCAGCATGTTTCTGATGGCCTTGATATTTTCTCTGGACCCTCTTCTGGAACATAATCATCTGGTAGTTTTTCTGACCTCACATAATGCATCTACTGGAGTAAACCCAATACTCTCAACCTTTCTATTCCTTCCTCTTCCTTCTGTGTAGACAACTTATGTGTTATGACTTTCCTCCAGGTTGACTCTCACTTTCTTTAGGCTTCTAAAAGTCATCCAAACAATGAATTTGCCCCATCCCCTGGGATCTTGCTAGGCTATTAAATCCCATGTCCTATGAAAAGTACCCACAAGTCAATGAAATCTTACTTATCCAGTTCAACATTTCAGTACCTTGATAAGCATTTTCAAATTTCAGTGTCAGTGGTACTCACTGACTCCTGCCAATATAAGCTAATGATACTATGAAATACACTTTTTTTCCTCTCTTTTCAGACACACTGTGTCTCATCTGGATTCTACTGAGTTTAACTCTAGCTATTGGCCTATCAGACAGGAGAAGGGGTAGTAGGGACTCCCAGCATATGGGGAGTCCACCTCCACAAGTTCTGACATTTTAGGGGGACCTGCAGAGTCAACATCACATCCTCAGGAGGATCTGTCCATTTACCAAGGCCATCAGGAATATGGTGGTAAAAAGAGAACTTCATTATTAAGATGTTCAATATGTTTGCTCCATAAACCAAAACTGACAACAGAAACAGTCACAGAACCGGGCTTATTGATATCCATGGAATTAATGAGGTTCCCAGAGTAAAAGAAGCTAGGTGGTGGTACTTAAACACAGAAGCCATGTTTCAGCCAAGCTTTCCCAGCCAGAATTCTGGCCTTTGAATGAAACCTGCCTGGCTCAACACATAAATATCTTTGGAACACTGTCAGTATCAGGCCATCAGTCTGCTGCTTAGCGTGTCCATTCCCACTACAGGGGATAAAGGCTACCAAAGAGATCCTTTGGCTTTTACACTTAGTCTTTTCCTGCTAGTCAGTAGCCTTTGGTTTCTCATTATCCCTTTGTATGGCATCAATTCAACTCTATAACCAACCCATTCTGCTGTCTTTGTAGGCACCCACTCCCCTATATCTTTCAAATGGCTGAATCATTATATCTGCCAGGACATTCTTCTCCATCAGATCCTTTTCCTAGATGGAAAATATTTTACCACCAGTGATTTTTTAGCAATTCAGCCGTCATCTCTTTCCATGGACTATTCATACTCCATATACTGCTCAAGATGGTATCATTTTTACCCATTGGGTAGTAACTGAATCAGTTTCAAAGCTTTACCTTACCATTTGCTTTCTCCGAACACTTCTTATAGTATTTGTGTTAATGTGTATCCTTCACGGATCAGCTGCCAAGATGCGATTAGAAGTAGAAGAGGTTTATTGGGAAACAGTTGAGGAAAGATAACAGAAAGGGAGACAGTGAAGGTGAAGAGAACCTTCAAACAGTGATATAGGGATGACACCTGTAAAGGCAAGGAGAAGGAATGAAAATTTGTTTGGAAGGATTTCAGAGTACAGCCTAATTCTAAGAAAGTTTCAACCAGATTGATGGGGAGTCCTCAAGTCAAAATCTTCCATTAGAGGCATTCTGGACTAGTGCTCTTACCATGTTTAGTCTTGGCTGAGAGCAGCCTGTAGGAAGCATGGATTTTGGCATGAATATGATGGAACATCTGAGGGACAGCAGCTGAGGCCATCAGTCACTTGTGCTCTTAACTGGTCATTTTCATAGCCACACACTACATAGTTTCAAGATGGCTTTTTGCAGCTACAGGGCTCAAATCCTTTCAAGTTTGAATCTAGAGAAAGATAAATATCTTTGTCCTAACATTTCTAGCAAAAGCTCTGAGATTAACTTGGATTGGACCAGCATAGGTCATGTACCCACCCATCTACCTCATGATGGCCAGGGAAGTACCATGTTCTGATTTTTTCAGGTCTAATTTTCATGGTCCACTTCCAGGATAGATTTTGGGGTCCCATTCATACCATGAGAACTGAGCAGTGGTGAAGGGCAGATTCCCAAACAAAAACATGTACATAAAGAATATATATTTTTTTTACTTTTAATTGCTGTTGCCAGGTTGCTTTCCATAGGCATGATAACACTCACTGTTCCACCAAAAAGTCAAAAATGGTACTCTTCTCCATATCTTCACCAGAAATATGTATTAGCTTTGTTTTAATATTTTTGCCAACCTGATGGATACAAAGTGCTAGCTCATTATTACTTCAGTTTACAATTTCCTGGTACTAGCATATTTTGAAATATTTTTTCACACATTCATTGACTGCTTGGATTTGCCTTCCTATAATAGTGTCTTTATCTTTTGTCCATTTTCCCATTGTTTTTCTTCTTTTTTGTCCTTTTCTTGTCAGTTTATAAGAGCATTTTTCATATATAGCTAATAACCCTCAGTCTGTCTGTCCTCTGCATTCCAGATAGGGAAGGAAAAAGCCTGAAGCTCACATGTTGCCCATCTCCATCTTTATAACCAGTACTAGCTCAGAGTCCTTAGGGTGCAGTTTAGATCAATATGCCAGGCCTTGGGACAACTCTATCATTCTTGTTCAAAAAACAAAGCAAGATAGGACCCAGTGAAACACAAGTTTCCATGCCCCAAACTTTCCCCTCACAGGGATAATATTGCTCAAATTCCAGTCATTCTGGAACCACCTTAACAATTTTATCATATACTTTAAATTTTGTGCCATTATTTATATTTCTGAAACTCAGCATTTTAACATAGATTTATTTTTAAAATTTATGTTGTTGCCATTGTATCACTATACCCACTAGTTACAGTTTTCCAGTACTCATTAAAAATAAATTCACAGGAGTGCCTGGGTACAGCATTTGGTTAAGCTGCCCACTATTGGTTTGGGCTCAGGTCTCTGCTCAAGTAGTGATCTCAGCGTTGAGATGGAGACCCATGTCTTGCTCCACAATCAGCTCAGATTCTGCTTAAGTTTCTCTCTCCCTCTCCCTCTGCCTCTCCCCCTTTCACTTTCTCTAAAATAAATAAATCTTTTAATAAATAAATTAACAACTATGAAAGTAAAAGATATCCATCTGCATACCACTTAAAATGCACCATACTTTGGGAAACTACATCAAAGCTTGTCACAGGCCCATGAACTAGTCAAGGAGAAGATCAAGGATTTACAGAGCTGTCAGTTTCACTGTCTATAGCACAGCAACCCCCCTGGGATGGGGTGGGTGGTAATAGCTTCATTTATATCTGAGGAAAACAGCACAGAAAGGTACAATTGCTTTCCATACTATTGAACGGTGAACATTAGAATCTAGGCCTTGCTCCAAAAACAATTCTGTAGCAAGGATCTATTAAGTCCAGTGGGCGAACCTTACCTAGTGGTCAGGGCTCTAGGAAGTCTGAGCCCGGGGCAGGCCGGGATTGCATTACCAACATTCCGTGTTCTGGCTGGAACACTATAAGTTCTAAGGTTCTGTGAATTATGCTAGGGTCCAGGGCTCAGAAAGGGCTGCCTCAGAAGGTGCTGTGATTTGGCCCGGTCACGCCTTTCCAACCTCGTACCTGCTGCCCACTGCCATCCAACTGGCCTGGAACTGGCAAAACCCAGGCTGGAGGAACGATGTGCTGGCTGCGGGCATGGGGCCAAATCTTTTTGCCAGTTTTCCTCTCCCTCTTTTTCATTCAACTGCTTATCAGCTTCTCTGAGGATCATTTTTCCCACGTCTCCAGACAGAGGGGAAAACAGAGATCAAAGTCTTTGGATGATGGTGAGTCATTCCAAGCCCAGAGGCTGATGCCCTACACACACCACTGCCACCATATTTCCTTTTGGTTGTGCCGCTCTGGCAAGCTGAAATTGTCATCTCTAAAGTTGCTGTTTAGCATCAGTGGGAAGATATTTTTAAGGGCTCTTGATGTGTTTGGTGAAATCCAGTTTAATTGGACTTGAATTAATTTATCAGAAATGTGAAGAGTGAGTTAAAACAGTTTAAAAATTTGGAAAAGCATGTGTCTCTCTCCCCCCTCACTTTTTGTATGACCTATATAGTGCATTTGTGCTCTGAATAAGCTGTAAATTAGCTAATCAGATTCTGCCCAATAATCATAGCTAGTCTTAGTGTTTTAAGGTTTTAATTAATAAATTGCTTGATTTGTGTCTTAAGGAAGAATTGGTTTGATCTGGAGACTTCCCTTAGCTTTCCTCCCCAACTGAAGAAATTTTGGAAAGTTAAAATTCATGCTGAGTTCAATTCTTGAACCTGGAAATAAGCTTTGTAGTATCCTAGATTGAAATTGTATGGATAGAATTAGGACAGGATTTGAATTACTGGGAAAATGCCCTGTAAAGGCAAGATTGCTATTTGTATGAAGACTGTAAGAATTATGGCTGTCTGGTTTCTAGAGTCTGAAAGAATGTTAATATCTGTAAGGAAATTTGTCTTCCTTGCTAAAATCAAACCCAAAGGTTTCCACTTTGTCCTGAAATAAGATTCCTCTTTGAGAGGATGAGGAGTAGGGAGAGGTTGAATCAAAAGGCCTAGCTTGTTTCCTTTGGTTTCATCTTTCCCATAGATAACTCTCTTTTGACCCTTTGGTCATCCCCATACATACTTCAAGAGGAACAGTGTTCTAGTGCCATCTCCACCATGTTCTCCACACAAACAGTGCCTAAAACCATAGGCCAAGCATAGAAACAAATGCTTCCTTTTATTCCTTAGCAAATTGGAGTCATATTGGGATTTTTCTAAAGACTTTATTAAAATGCTGATGAAGATGTAGAAAGGAGTTAACAAAGACAAAAACAAATAAAAAATTATAGGTAACATAGTCTGGTCTCCAAAGACTGAAGGTTCTGATTATAGTTAGCTCAGTTCTAGGGCTGACCAACCCTGTTGAATGTTTCTGTGGAAACAGTGTCCCTTTGTGAAGGAAAGCCTGGTTCAGCCAGTCCTGGACCTCCCCCCACCCTCCAATGTTTGCTTCCTAGCCGAGGCATTTCCCCTTTGTGCTTGCATTCAACCTTCCCATCTAACAGGAACATGGTTTCTTAGACATCATTCCTTCAGCTCCAAATCTGAGAAAATGATTCCAATCCCTACTATGATCCCCACCTCCATCCTTCCTAGCACTCAGATTGATAGACCTTTGCCACAGGACTTTCTGAATGATCCCACAACAAGTGAGACCTACCACAAAGGGGGTTGCTTTGATCCCCAGAGTTTTTAACCCTGATATTCACTTACATCTCAGAGCTCAGTAAGAAATTTTCTATGAAGTTAAGGTTGCACTTGGAACTTTGGGTTAGGAAACTTCCCCCCAATGTAGAGATGTTCTTTCACCAGGAGCAACCAAACAACAGAAGGTCAAAAAAAAAAAAAAAAAAATTAAAAAAAAAAAAAAAAGCAAGTGACAGCCAAGGGGAAAAAATGAAGGAAAGATTCTGCATCAGAAAAGAATACTATAACATGAGAATGCTCCAAATACCACCATCATCCTTTAGAAGTAACTGGTGAATGACTAAATTCCAAGAATTTTCATTAATTCTCCTGGAACTAGAGAGATGCCCATTGAGTAGGTATCCTATTCTTTACCATTCTGAAGAATAACAGAGGAAATGGTTACAGAGGAGAAATAAGAGAAAAAGAAAAACTGAACAATGGATCTGTCTCTGATGGAAAGGTTGGTTCCTGGGCTGCAAACTCCATTTAGGGGCAGATCTATAGTTCATTTTATGGACATGGGTAATGCCTCCAATTAGCTAGAATCCTGGAAGAGGAAAATGACAAAAATCTCAGAAGAGAGTGTAGAGCCCAGATATTCTTTTTTTTTTTTTAATATTTTATTTATTTTTTCGACAGAGAGAGATCACAAGTAGGCAGAGAGGCAGGCAGAGAGAGAGAGGAGGAAGCAGGCTCCCAGCCAAGGAGAGAACCTGATGTGGGGCTCCATCCCAGGACCCCGGGATCATGACCTAAGCCAAAGGCAGAGGCTTTAACCCTCTGAGCCACCCAGGGGACCCGAGCCCAGATATTCTAATCAAGTCTGTCATAGACTCACTTGAGTTCTTCCCAAGTTGTTCTTGCTGAGAACAACTGAATGGATAGAACATAAAATACCATAAAACTGTAGGTTCTCAGAAAAACATATCAGGGATGGTTGTAAGGTGGTCAAAGTGTCACCTTCATCCTGTCAGCACCAATAGAAGTTCTGAACCCAGCAATCCAAACATGAGTAAGATGAGAATAGACAACAGAACAACTATGCAAACACTGCATAGCTAACTAAATAATGAAATTAAGGAACTTGATAGCATGCAGAAAAGAAACAATGTATCCTAGAATAAAACATAACTCAAGGAACAAATGCAAATTTCCCCCATAAGTGCTCTGAGCTAGAGAACCACCAAATAAGAAATAGATTCACTGAGGGGCACCTGTGTGGCTCAGTCAGTTAAGTATCTGCCTTCAGCTCAGGTCATGATCCTCCATCCTCCATCATGGGATGGAGCCTCCACATCTGGCCTCCCTGCTCAGTGGGAAGTCAGCTTCTCCCTGCTCTTACGCTCTTGCTCTTGTGCTCTTGTATTGTCTTTCTTACTCTCAAATAAATAAAATCTTAAAAAAAAAAATAGAATGAATGAAACTAGTCTCAAAGTAAAGATAACAGAATGAGATAAAAAGGCAGATTTCTCTAAGGAAATTCACTGAAGGCTAAATAATTTGAATATGAGGCAAGGCTTCCAGGTTTTCTCCTTATTTCTTTAAGTACCAATTTATTTCTGCTAATGTTGAACACACCAAGAAAATTTGTCAGGACTTAGTGAAAAGAAACAAAGTTATGGACTTTATACTAACTGCAATGTTTTTAGATGCAGTGTGAGAAACCAAGATTTTATATATAAGAAAAATATAATTTGTCTCACTTAAATGAAGCAGAAAAAATGCATGGGACCTCAGAAATGAGTGAATCACCATCATCTCTATATTTCTCCTTCATTTTCTCTCCTTTTCTCTACTTATCAACTTCATTCACTCCTATTAGCTTCCTCCTCAGGACTTCTTCTATAGTCATTGGCAGCTCCATCTTCTCAATTTTCCAAAGAGAAAGTGGCTCCCTGCCACCTCTTAACCCTCACTTTTTGATTTGTAAATTGTCAGAGGAAGACTTTCATTTGCCTGACTTGCTCATATTCCCCCTCCCTAGACCAGTGAGTGTGGTCCGGGATTAGCTCCATTTGGTTCAAGTGTGTGGTGTTACATGCCTGCCTGGGACCAGGGAGTTTGTTGTAGGAGAGGGCAGTTACCAATTGTACCATGTGTCTAATGCTGGGGAAGGAGAATCCTGCCAAGGAAGGATGGGTTATATTTCCCAGGAGAAGGGAGAGGTGCTGGTGGTCAAAACAGCTCAAATCCACACTCTTGTTACTGGCAAGTGAACTTCAGTGTGTTATTGACTTTTCTGAGGTCAGTTTCTTCATCAGTAAAGTGGGGATAATAATAACCACCTTTCAGGATTGTGAAGATTGGGTCTAATTGTTTTCAATAAGCACTTGTTTAGAAATTGCTGAGTAAGGATTCCACATAATCTGAGAGTGAAGGCCGGTTTATATTTCCCACGAAGGTGGATTGATTCCTGGTTGTTGCTGCTCAGAAAGGATTTGCACTTTTCTAGTTTGTTCTTTCAGAGATTCACGTTTTCCTAGTTTACACAAAAATGCCCTATTTAGCAGCAACCCTATGTCTTCAACTTTCTCTAATGTGTATAATATAAAAAAGGTAAATGAAAACCATGTTGATACCATGTACTTGCTGGTATGATGTAGCTACTTCACCTCTGCAGTATTCTTCCCCCAAACTCATATCTTCGGTCTAATCATGAGAGAAACAGACAAATTCAAATTGAAGGATATCCTACAAAGTATTTGGCCAATACTCTTTAAAACCATCAAGGTTATGAAAAACAAGGAAAGACTGAGACGCTGTCACAGACTAAAGGAGACATGGTGACCAGATGCAATGTGGGATCCTGGATCTTGGAACAGAAAAAAGTACATTAGTATAAAAACCAATGAAATCCTAGTAAAATCTGGAGTTTAGTTAAAAGCAGTATATTGGTGTTGGTTCCTTAGTTTTGATAAATGTACCATGATAATCTAAGATGTTAGCCATGGGGAAAACAGGCGAGAGGTATATAGGAACTTTCTGTATAAGCTATGAAATTTTTCTATAAATCTAACATTATTCCAATGTAAAATTTTAGCTGTGCAAAAAAAAAAAAAAAAAAAAAAAAAAAAAGCTGTGGGAAACAAGTAGAATTTGGAGAATGGTGCCTAAGTCACATGCCTTTTTTTCTCCTGCTCCTGCCTCCTGAAGTAAGCCTAAAGCCACTGTCCCCAACATAGCTGAGCAGTAGCATCTTTCCCATTTACCTTGTGTTCTACTCAACTTCCCTTTGGAGGTTCCAGTATGATACTTTTGGGTAGGGAGAAGTAATATTCAATAGGGCTTAATTTGAAAAACTCCTCTAAGTCTTCTCCCAGCCAAATCAGATCTGTATCCAGTCAAACAATTTGAAATTAAATAGAAAGGTCTGACCTTTCCCACACAGCTTATGAACTCTGGCCCCCCAAATAATAGAGTGTCTTTATTGTTATTGCATCACATGAAAGCTAGGGTATTAATGTCAGACCCTACTTACTTTACAGAGATGTTAGAGTAAGAAAAAGAGCCATCAAAATCCTTTTTTCCAGACTTAAAGTTTTTATTCTAGAACTTTTGAATATTACTTATTTTTTTATGAAATAGGAAGAATGAAAATCCTCACCTGGGAGAAGTTTTTAAAGCTTGTGGCACAACAAGATAGAGAATTAATTTTTTTAATATTTAAAGGACCGGGGCACCTGGGTGGCTCAGTCTGTTAAGCATCTGCCTTTGGCTCAGGTGATCCCAGTGTCCCAGGATGGAGGCTTGTCAGGCTCCCTACTCAGTGGGGAGCCTGCTTGTCCCTCTCCCTCTGCCTCTAAGGACTAATTAGCCAAGAATATCTTGACAAAACCATCTTGAATAACAAAGGAATTACTAAAAAGGTTTTTAAAGTATAATACTATAAATATACAGTGATATTGCTGATTTGTTTTTCCTTAATTTTTTTTGGAAGTTTCTGTTTTGCTTTGTTTTGTTTTGTTTTGTTTTGTTTTTTATTTGATGGAGAAGGAACACAAGCAGGGGGAGTGGGAGAGGAAGCGGGGAGCCTGATGGGCTCAATCCCAGGACCCCGGGATCATGACCTAAGCAGAAGGCAGACGCTTAACAACTGAGCCACCCAGACACCCCTGGAAGTTATTTTTAAGAACGTACTTGGCTAATCAAAGTTGGATAATGCCATTTCATATTTTTCCAAGCAATAGTAGAAAATAAGAGAGTTAGGATTTAAATAGTACCAAAGGGGAAAGTGTCTAGATATATAAAAATAATGAAATAAAACACTGGGGTATGGATTGTGTGCCATTAAACAGGAATGACTAAATGAAATGTACTTTTATATAAAATTAAGCAGTAAATGGTCTTTGCATTTACATCTTTGCACTTTTTTTTATAGCATGTACTATAAAGAAAAATTGTCAATTATGCACAGAAGATAAGAAAGTAAGTTAACTTTTATATGAGAAAATTGTCTTGGGAATGTTATAAAGTCACATAATTTACATTTGTAAATGTACTTCTAGAAAATTATGCCTCAAAAACAAAAACAAAAAATTTTGCTTGAAAAGAATTATACTTTGGGAAGAATTTTTTTGTAAGTCAAGGAAAGTCAATCCCTTTGAGATGCAGTGAAAATTTCCTTACTATTCTGTTACCCCAACACTATGACCCCTTGCTCCTTAACTGTAGCTAGGTTCCCTTCTCTGATGATTAGGTAGCTGACAACATTGTTCACTTCAGATTTGGAAGGAGGCAGAAATGCCATAAGAAATGAGGGAAATGATGTTACAGAGAGCTTTGCAGCAACCCTTACAGAAAACCATTCAACTGGGGCACCTGGGTGGGTCAGTGGGTTAAACCTCTGCCTTCAGCTCAGGTCATAATCTCAGGGTCCTGGGATGGAGCCCCACATCAGGCTCTCAGCTCAGCAGAGAGCCTGCTTCTCCCTCTCTCTCTCTGCCTGCCTCTCTGCCTACTTGTGATCTCTCTCTCTGTCAAATAAATAAATTAAATATTTTTAAAAAACCAAACCATTCAATCATAACTGGTATTGGAGAGCTGAAAATTAACCGAAGACAAGGAGACATGGAATCACAAATTAGAAAAGACCATACTCTAGCAACTGGTATCTGTCATAGTGATGTGGACACACAATTCTGTGCACCTTCTTATCTTCATCAAGGCCACTCCTTCATGTGATGGGCACCTGGCTTCCTGGCTCATGGACATCTCGACCCAATTCATGCTATTACCTACGTGCTTTTCAAACTCGGCGAAGGCCCAGACACACTTGGTCCCTCAGGCTCCTGACTTCCTCAGCTCCGCATTAAGAAGTCACTTCTGTGGCCACACCCTGAACCCTTCCCAATTTACAGCGGCTCCTAAATTCTCATTCCCCTTACACATACTTTTTGGCATCAGTAAGACTGCCCTCTAGTCCTTTAATCTCTCAGTTTTCCTTCAGCATATTGGTCGTCTCCTATGGACTCCTTCAAGTATCCTTCCTGTGAATTCTCATGGCTGTTCACTTGAATGATCTTATTTCATATATGCCCTCTGTCTGCCAAAATGGATTGTTTTGAAACAAATAAGGGTTTTGATACTGTATCATTTTACTTGTAAATATTTACCACTCTCTCCCTCTCTCTATCTCTCTCCTTCTCTCTCTCATTCCAGTTGTATATGTATATATACAATAGATACTCTGCTTTAAAATATTAAAAGTCCATCATTACACCTAAAAATTAACAACTTCTTAATATCATCAAGCATCCAGGAAATAATCACATTTCTCTTGTTTCATAATGTTTTAAAGTTCATTTGAACAAAGTCCATACACTGCAATTGGATAATATGCCCTTTAAATCTCTTTTTATCTGGGATGCCTGGGTGGCTCAGTGGCTCAGTGGGTTAAGCCTTTGCCTTCAGCTCGGGTTATGATCCCAGGGTCCTGGGATCAAGCCCCCCATTGGGCTCCCTGCTCAGCAGGGAGCCTGCCTCCTCCTCTCTCTCTGCCTACTTGTGATCTCTCTTCGTCAAATAAATAAATCAAATCTTTAAAAACAAACAAATCTCTTTTTATCTATATGCTCCCTTCTCCCTCTTTTTCTTTACTGTAACTTACTTGTTATAGAAACTGAACTATTTGTTCTATTGCTTTTCCCACAGTCTGGATTTTGCTCTACCCCATGCTCCATAATGTGCTCTGTCATGTTCCTCTTTCCCTTGTTTTTTGTTCTTGTAAACTGGTAATTAGATATGGAGGCTTGATCAGCTTCAGTTTAATTTTTTGGCAGGAATATCTCATGCTGAGGACTTTCATTAGTAAGCAAGTAAGTTTGTTGAATATTTTGTGTTGTCAGCAGCCCTTGGTGATCCTTGCCTATACACAGTTTTGTATTTCACTAGAGGTTGCAAAAATCACCACTACTTTAATGTCCTTGCCTTCTCATCTTTAGCTATGTTGGATCTACATTCCCTGGGCCTCATTGGTCCTTTGATCTGTCCTCTGATTTGCAACACATTATTAGCCCGTTTTTTCTGGAGCATATTGCATCAAAATCTACTTTAGTGCAACTACAAATTCATAGTTTCTCTTCTCACCTAAGCCCCAAGACTACCCATTTCTTTCCTTTGGTTAGCAATATTCCGTCAAATTTCCCACAGCAGCAATTCCAAACTTTGTTGCCATCCTTAATGTCCCAATGTTATCTCACATTCACTCATTCTCAACTATGGGTTTTTGTCTAATTTTATAGACAAAAATAGAGGCTCCCAGGGCAAACTTTATTCCCCATGCTGATAAAATTTCTGTCATTCTTCCTCATCGTTATGCATTCTTCCCTTCCTTTTAAAAGAAGAAGAATACTGCCTTCAATTCCCCTCTATTTCTGTTTCAGATCTTGAACATGTACATTTTGGACTGTATCTTATATCATACAGATTGTTTGCTTATTTACCTTCCTTCTGTTTTCAGTTCCCTGAGGACAGAGTATATGTTTTATTCATCTTTGCATCTCTAACAGCCTCACACAATTCCCAGCACATGACAGTTTTTGATAACTATTGATTTGAATTAACACTTGAGCCATTAGAAGGAATTAGAAGTCATTAAATTACATTTAATATACTCTCTAATATAAGAAATAGAGAATTTTATCTTAAAATATTTACAGACATAGCCATTATGAGAATTCTGGGCTTATGACTATTTGAGTGTCATTTTTAATATATTCCCAGTATCTCTCAGAAGAGAACTAAGGGATAATTCCACATGGCTAACACAGAATTAGGGTGTCATCTTTTGGAAAAAGATCCTCTCTCCTCCCAGACTTTCAGTTACAGTGTCTGCCACCTCCCAGAGGGAATGCCAGAATTTATAAGTGTCAATTCATGAAGCAACCAAGAACATTTGAGCTCTTCTTACACTATTATGATTGGAACAGATGGCCTGGTATGCCTAGGACTGTCCTATTTTATGATAGTATTCACCACCATTGACTTGGTGAGATTATTATACTGACTCCTTTTCATCCCCCAAATATTCCAGTTTGAATTATATAGTATATGCTTATTTTTCTTAATTATAAGGGAATCTTCCTCAGATTCTATTGGGAACATTTCCTTGTGAGTTAATAGTATATGACTCACCTTTTTAAGAGTTAAAAAACATTCTTACCAAAAACAAGTCCATAAAAAGAAACTCATTACAGTACTACCACCCAATACATAGCTCATAAACACAGCATAGGAAAAACATTATTTCTTTATTGCTATCTTCTCTTCATAAGAAATAAAATTTCAAAAACCATGCTAAGAAACAGTGCTAACTCTCACCTGGGCCTTCATTGCTGTTGAGAATCATTATGAATCACTGTTAACTCTTTGAAGTGATGGTTTTCAATCATGGTGTCACAATGTCAAACCATGTCATAAGTAATTTTTTTTTGCTAATGCTAATTAGAAGACTGAGTTTTGCAATTGAGTAGATTCTAGGTTTTCCCCATAATCACATCTTTCTCATTTATTGCATCTTGATATGGATTATCGCTAGGAATAGAAAGGAACAAAGTAATGGCAAACCCAATGGGTTTTTTGGAATCTTCCACAGACTACCTTATTTACTACAAATTCATAAGAAATGATCATTACTTATATGCTTGTAATATGTACTTGTAAATCCCATTCCTTACATCCTACAAAGATGCCCACCTTGATATTATTTTTTCTGAAAAATTGTGTGTGGTGCGTGGTGTGTGATGTGTATGTGTATATATTAAGGCCTGGAGTAGGAGAGATAGATAGGGTCATGCATCCAAATCTGGATATGCCAATGAACACGTGGATATCACCTGTGAGTTTCTCAGCTGAAAAACAAAATATAGAGAACTGGTTTCATGGATTATTCTCCAAGGCAACTATTCCTCTTACCTGGACTTAGCATGACCATCTATCTAGAGGTAGATGATTTTTTTTTTTTTTTCTTGAGAAGTTTAAGGCTCTCTGTCAGGCTTAAGTTCTCTCATTTTCTGAACTAATTCAGTGTCTTTTCTGTTAAGCTCTTTTCCATTAAGAAGTCAGTTCTCGGGGCACCTGGGCAGCTCAGTGGGTTAAACATCTGCCTTTGGCTCAGGTCATGATCTCAGGGTCCTGGGAGCCAGCCCTGCATTGGGCTCTCTACTCAGCAGGGAGCCTGCTTCCTCCTCTCTCTCTGCCTGCCTCTCTGCCTACTTGTGATCTCTGTCTGTCAAATAAAGAAGTCAGTTCTCAGTTCCAAGGCTAACTTCTTGGTCTTTAAGACCATTCATGCATTAGGCTTAGAAACATGCACATTCACAAACTCAGAACCTTTCTCATTCCTGTGTTTCCTCTGTGACAAATTCCATCTATTACTTTGCACTGGTTTCTTCCTTTCTCAGTTCAGACAAAATGGATAAAGAAAAAGCAAACCTTCTCTTGTTTCTTTCTCACCTCTCTGTTTCTTTTACCAGTTCTCTCTTTCTGTTCTCATACCCCTATGCATTTTTAAATACCGTACTTTTACTCTTGTGCTGTCTTATGGCCTCTGCTTGTAGCTGCATATAAATCCCAAATTCATATCCTTAGACCTAATGACTCCCTAGGCCTTGGGGTCACATTCGAAATTACTTGACTGACATTTTTTCCTGGAATTTTTCATCATCTCAAGCTCAAATCTCATATAACTAAATTTATCACTTACCTTCCCCAAAGAACTTTGTTTTATTTACTTCTTTCTTTCTTTCTCTTTCTTTCTTTCTTTCTTTCTTTCTTTCTTTCTTTCTTTCTTTCTTTCTTTCTTTCTTTTCTTTCTTTCTTTATTACTGGTGACATTCTCCCAGACCCATAATTTTAGAAGACTTTGGCTCCTTTCTCTGACTTTTTCTCTATCTACAGTTCATAAAGCCCTATCAGTCCTCATTCTTTGCTTTCGACTGGAACAATCCTAGATTTCCTACCCCACAGTCCCTCCTGATACCTTAATCATGATCGTTGATTACTGTTTTCATCCTATCACCTTTTAGCTCAAAATAATTCCACTGATGGGGCACCTGGGTGGCTCAGTGGGTTAAGTCTCTGCCTTCCGCCCAGGTCATGGGATCGAGCCCTGCATCAGGCTCTCTGTTTGACGGGGAGCCTGCTTCCCCCCTCTCTCTCTGCCTGCCTCTCTGCCTACTTGTGATCTCTGTCTCTCTGTCAAATAAATAAATAAAATCTTTTTAAAAATAAAAAGATAATAATTCCACTGAATCCCTGTTAGGATAAAGCGCAAGCTCCTTAGTCTGGCATTCAAATCCCATCACAATCTGAGATAAGTTTACTTTTCCAAGTAATTCCACAAACTTCCACCATGACAGATTGTTACTCCTGCCACCTGTTCATTCACCCTGTGATAGCTGCTGTGCCTAAGACTCTGTTCCTTCGGGGCGCCTGGATGGCTCAGTGGGTGAAGCCGCTGCCTTCGGCTCAGGTCATGATCTCAGGGTCCTGGGATCGAGTCCCGCATCGGGCTCTCTGCTCAGCAGGGAGCCTGCTTCCCTTCCTCTCTCTCTGCCTGCCTCTCTGCCTACTTGTGATCTCTGTCTGTCAAATAAATAAATAAAATCTTAAAAAAAAAAAAAAAAAGAAAAAGAAAAGACTCTGTTCCTTCGTGTGCAGTTTTTACCTTCTCCTTAAGGCTCAGACCAAGTTCTGCTTCCTCCCTGGAAGACACCTCATCTAGTCATTGAAACTACACATGAATACTTTCTCTTCTGAACTCCTATTACATTTTGTATCTGTTCCACTCTTTTTGAAACTATAATATTCTTTCACTTAGAGATTTTGTTTTTTTGTAAAGTGTACATATTGCACCTGCTGATTAAATTTTCACTTTCTAAAAACACAGTGCTTTATATATCTGTGTAACCTCTGCTTTGCTTGATATTTGCCCATAAATAATGAGTAAATGCTCTTTTGATCTCCCCAATGTCCATGACTTTAAAATCTCCCTTTGCACAATAACGGTTAATATTTTTGGTAAGTATAATATTGTTTGGTTTATAAATGTTAACAAACTGCTTAACATTATTATGTATCTTCCCCTTCCTGCGTTTATTTTCATTTTAATGATACTTGCTTATAAAAATGTCAATTTTTATGTCCATATGTGCTTATTAGAACAGAGTTCTACCCTAAAATGAATCCCCTAGCTTTCCCATGGGGCAATATTAACCATCATTTTAAAGTCTCTTAGCTGACTTCTCGGTTGTCACTCTCTGGAGAGTCAGGTTGGCATAGCTTCATATTTATGTAGGTCGTTTTCCTTAGCTACAAAGAAAAAAAAATCCATGTAATTTGTTTTAAATTGTGTGTTACCAATTTAAGGATTTGACTATATTTTGCTGTTCCTCTGGATAATGTGAAGTTCTGCTCTTTGAAGACTTCTTAGACTTAGTTAAGGTGTTAGTCAAATCCTTTTGCAGTACGTTATAGAAGCCCAAGTCCAACTAATTTAATAAACAGAAATCCAATTCAAACTGATTTTTATTGACTCATAAAAGTAGGAAGTCCAGGAGTGGCCTTGGCATCATACACAGCTGAATCTCCAAGGATGTTTTTCCCATTTCCTCTCTTTTCATCTCTCAGCTCTGCCTGCCTCTGTGTAGTGACCTCCTTTTCTTCTGTAGCAAATGTGGACATTTTCCATATAGCTTGAAAGAGCCTGGCTCCCCACAGATATCTTCTAATGCGTATACAACTTAAAGAAAAATTCTAATTGGCTTTATTCGGGTCTTCTCTCCAGTCCAGCACTAGTTACTGGGGCAGAGGGATGGGCTACCTTGAGTACCACTGACTGGGTTGGATGATTCCAGTAAGAAAGAAGTGATGGAGCAAAGCTCATTAACAGTGGCAGAACCACATAGAACTGAAGGACAAGAGCCACCAACGAACGAGAGACGGTGCAATTACCAGAAGGAGAAGGCTGGTGATACAAGCTGAGCAAAAGAGGAAAAACAAAAAACAAACAAAAAAAAAACTATGATAGCCTACTGTATTTCACCCTTTGACTTTTCAGGATGTGAAAGTCCTATTTTCCCCATCTCTACATTTTAAAAAATTCTCCAGGCAAATAATGCAAATAACTCTCAACTAAAATTGTCCTTACCCAAAGTCACTGTTAGGCCCTCCAGCTCCATCTGGAATCTCAGAGTGGTGTGCATGATGTGCGGATGTTCTGTTGAATTTCCCTGGCCAAACAGTGAGGTATTGGTCACCCACCTGGCTGCCTTAGGCTCAACCTGTGAAGGAACTCCTGGTTCCATTGTCCTCAGACCCTCTATCAGAGAGAGGTACAGGGGAGAATCTCCCTTTTGGGGACTGCACTGCTTTAGGAGCTCAGCTGATGTGGACTTGGTTACTGGGGACTGGGGATCAGCTTAGCACTGAGTAACCACAAGGTTCTTTCTGACAGGTTCAGGTTTTTCTGGCAATTCATCTCCCATGAAAACCTGCTAGATAGCATGGACTTGATTCCTAGAAACTCTTGAGAACTCTTAACCAAGGTTAGAAGCCTCTGGGCTATAATCTGAATCTAGGCTTTGACTTTGCAGTTCTAGTCTTTAAGCAACAGTCCAAGAGTGTAGGACCCATTCAACCTAAGTGACTCCATTTGACTTCCGGTTTTGGTTAACATGAGAGAAAAGCTGGCCTTTGATATACCTCTTGCTCTCAGGCAGTGACTAAGGGGTGGTTCTTTACTAGGAATGAGTCATTATCTCTGTTGGTCTCAGGATGTTCAGCAAGAAGTGATTTGGAGGGGTCTGGGATCAGTTTTATAAGATTGGTTACCAGCACAGAACCAGACTGATTAGGTTAGAATCCAAGCTCCTCCGTTCCCTAGGTTTGTGACCTTATGTAAGTAATTTGACTGTTCTGTGCCTTATTGGCCCCATCTATAAAGTGGACATAAGTTTTCTTAACTCACAGGGTTATCATAAGGATGAAATTAGTTAATACGTAAAAGGGCTTAGAATGGTACCTGTCCTGGGGTACATGGGTGGCTCAGTGGGTTAAGGCCTCTGCCTTCGGCTCAGGTCATGATCCTAGGGTCCTGGGATCTAGCCCTGCATCAGGTTCTCTGCTCAGCGGGGTGTCTGCTTCCTCCTCTCTCTCTGCCTGCCTCTCTGCCTACTTGTGATCTCTGTCTGTCAAATAAATAAAGAAAATCTTAAAAAAAAAAAAAAAAAAGAATGGTACCTGTCCCATGGTAGGCCCTATCTGAGTGACGTTTTTCCCACTCTGTCCTTATTATTATTATTTTTACTCTTCTGGATTCTAGTCTTATTTCCTGTGATGGTTTCCACCTTTGTATCTTCCTTTTGTTTACTTCAACAACAAGGGACTTAGAATTCACTTTTCCTGTTTTCCACATGATTTTTTTTTTTAAGATTTTATTTATTTCTTTGACAGAGACAGATCAGACGTAGGCAGAGAGGAAGGCAGAGAGAGGAGGAAGCAGGCTCCCTGCTGAGCAGAGAGCCCGATGTGGGACTCGATCCCAGGACCCTGAGATCATGACCTGAGCTGAAGGCAGAGGCTTTAACCCACTGAGCCACCCAGGCGCCCCTGTTTTCCACATGATTATCTGAACACCAATGAGCAGAAGGGAGAAGGGCACGAGGCATGCCTGATTGACAGCCCCATCAAGCCCACATGTTACAGAGGAGGAATCCCCAGAGGAAGGTGTGAGTGCCATAGAAAAGAGGAATGGGAATGAATATAGCGGTGAGGGCAGGGAGAGAGAGAGAGACACACACACACACACACACACACACACACACAGAGAAAAACCCTATCTACTGAAGTTGTTATTGCTACTTTATGAATAATGTCTCCAGTTTATTTCTCTAAACATAGAGCCTGCAAAAGGGATTCATGTATATGTGATTTCTTGAATGATTGCTCTTTAGCAAAATTTTATGGAATAAGGGACTCAGGGCAAGAAAGGGACTAGAGTCAAAAAATATGGTCTTGGGACACCTGGGTGGCTCAGTTGGTTAAGTGTCTGCCTTTGGCTCAGGTCATGAAGAGGTTGCTTTTATTTATTTATTTTTCTTTCCAAATACAGTGTTTTTGGTGCAGTGAAGAAAGCACTTGCAAAAAAATGTGTTTTCCATCTTTCGGGTGTCAATTCAGTTCTGTATATTGGGCAAACTGTAGAGGTGAGTTGTCCTTATTTGAATTTGTATGTACTTTTTTTTCCAGTTAACTTGCAAATACTGTATTTCACTGTATTTGGAGGATTGTAAATTATTATATTTGCTTTATTAAAAATATAGCAGATCTGTTCATTGGTGTTGCCCTGGATACAGGCTGATACTGGTTGTTTCCAGCCAGTGTTGGTTCAAGCTAGGTCAACATTCATTCTGATTAGTGAGTAGCTTACCATACCAGTTGTTGAATACTTTAAATTTCAGCTCTAATGTACTCTAATGTATGAGAACCATCACCTAGTGAAGGGAGGTTTCTATTTTATGCTGTTTTAGGAACTCCAGGAGGTTCTTATACACTAGTCCTGGGGTGAGGACATATTGAGCCCAGTAACATTACAATAATTTAACATTTCTTCAATTAATATATTCTATACTGATAATTGCCATTCAGAACAGTGACTCCCTAGGAATGAACAAAAGTTAATCATCTTTATATCTGTAATGTGTTTTGGGTATGTTATATGGTACTTACCAAAGCAGGGAAATGCTCTAGAACTTTATAAGGCATTTCCAGAACAGGAGAAATGAAAAGCTTTCCTAGTAAACCCTAACTATGAGAAAACCCAATCTAGAATCTATGTTTATTTCTTAATTGAAGTGGAAGAAAAAAAAACACACACACATGAATTTTGCCCTCATTTCCCTGTTTTTTCAGGTACTATCAGGTATATTTAAATCATAACTGATTATAGCAAAGAGCTTATAAACAAGTAACGGTTCATATATTCAGTATGAATGGGAAGCCCGATTTCCATTTCGTGTTCTGCCCTTGTAGCTTCATTTGATGGATGTACATTGGAGGTGGGGACGATGGAATCTGCAAGTGCTGGAAATCTCTCTCCCAGCATGCATTTGTTGTCTCTTTGATAAGGAGCTTCTGAACTCAAACAACAAACCCCTCCCGGCTATCTGCATGCATCTTTTCAGAAACGGCAGACGGAGGATTCTGCTCTTTTCTGCTGAGATACTGCCTGGAACGAGTTTAGAGAGAAATACAGGAAAAAAAAAAAATAAGCCAGTGGCCTAATAGTTTACCAATCTGAAGATGAAGGACATTAAATGCTACCTCCTTGTAGCAGCTCAGATTCTTTTCTAATGTTGGTGATTATTGTATTAGTGGTAGTTTTCTTGGAATATACAATGATGTATGTTATACCATTTTCCATAATTTGTTAATTTGTATTTAAGAATCAAATTACATGATACTAGAAAAGATAAAAATATAAGAAATTATTGCTTTTCTATTAACTTAAAATATATGTCTTTTCATGCATTTCAGTTGACATGTTTGGATTCCTGATGATTCTACTCATCATAATATTAATTACAGCATTCGTTTGGTATTTCTGCATCTGTCAGTATGTTCATTTTCTCCTTAGTAAGAATGCACTTGGGGATATTATCACTGAAGAGAATGTTAAGCTAATTATCAGGAAGTATTTTACCTTTTTTATGTAATAAAAATTGCATATCTATATTATAGGCGGGAAACATTCAGAAGGTAACAGAAGATTATAAAATGAAAAGGAAAATTTAACTTGCCCACCCTCTACCTCTGATACCTCTTCCCTAGAAGCAATCCTTCTAATGTGATATTAATGTAGTTCTTCTTTTGATTACTTCCTATATTTGAGCAATCTGGTTATGGCTATTCCTCATGATTTATTAACTTCGGATGTTATTTCTTGAGTCCCCAGCGTGAAAGCTGAAAATATATCTTGCACTATCCATATTCTTCTGTTATTTTGTTCTTAGTGAGTATTATCTTGTTATTTTTGAATTTTAACTATGGTTTTTCTTTCTTAGCTCTTAAGATGTTTAATATTTTTTCTATCGGTTATTGGTTCAACTTGACTTGATTACTTTGAGTAATTGGTTTAGTGCTCTGTCTCTATATAATAAATTCTTCTCCCATTACTTAAATAAGAAAATTTGGGACCCTGTACTTCTGTTTATCCTTTTCTCCCTCTAGCTCCTAAACTCTGTAAGCATTCTCACTCATTTGATCTCCTCAAGTATATAATGTTTACGTTTTGTCCTGTAAATATATCTTTATGTCTTGAAATGCTTACTCTATAGTTTGAATCTAAAATTTTTCAAATAATAAAAATAATTTTAAAAATCATGATTTTATAAATATTGCTCAGTAAAGACCAAACTGAAAATAAAAAATGTAATTCTGTGTCATAAGCAGTATTACTTGAAAGAGAATTATTTAGTGTCTGATCAAATAGATTCTCTTTCTCTCCATTTCTCAAAATCATGCTACATTTCATCTTGTTTCATGTTTACATTGTGACTTTCTTATACAGCTTTTGCATTTTCTAGGGTTTTATATTACTTTATTAGTCATGTATATTTATTCTCATCACTGTGATCATTCATCTTAGTATTTGGAAAAATATTCTCATTTTCATCTTATAGACACTCTTCTAAAAGTCTTCTGAGTTTTTGTTCTAATTTTTAAAAATGAGTTTCTTTCCAGGCATCCTTTTTCAAAAGGAGTTCACAGAAGATATGTAAAGTGTTTCCATAGTCCATACATGTTGAGAAAATGTCCTCCATTTTCCTTTAGCCAGCATGGCATTATTTGCTTTCCTTATATTGTACACCTTTTCTGAGAAATACCCATAGACAAGATAGAAAGATCCATAAATAAGGTAGGTAACAGGCTCATCTGTAAGGAAAATGTGCCTATAAAAAGATAAAGATTAGCCAAATGTTCTGTTTCTTTACCTGAGGCATCCACTTTGTCTAGGACTTCATATTTTTTTTTTTTTTTGGCTTTGAGACTTTATATCTTTTCCTTATTAACAAACAAGAATAAGAGAAGAGGTAAGATGGAAGATCATTTCTTATTCTTTACCTCTAGAACAAAATATATCCAGAAGGAAGAACCAATAGGGTGTATATTACATGTGTGGTAGGAGGTTGTGGCAAATACATTGTTCTTTTCTTTTTTATATTTTCTTCCCAGGATTCTGGCATCTTTAAAGTGTCATCCCTTTTTTTGTATAGTGCTGAGTAAAGTGGCAAATTATGCCCATAAGAGAGTAGGGATCTGAGCAAATATACATCACTGAAGCATCTTTTGTATGCAGTTTCAAAGGGAAACCCTGAAGTCTCTCAGCAAATATGGTACAACAACTGTGCTCACCTCCTGCTAGCTCTGCTATTCATCCCATCTCTTCCCTTTCAGTTTCTTTTAGAGAGATCTTCTAGATCTTGTTAATTCAATGAGCACTGTGTACTATTAGAGGAATTTGTCATATTAAGGACTTATTGCACTTAATAATCCAAAAATCCTGGTTGGATTCTATAAATATCCAGCTTTCATTTAAAAAATACCTTTGAGGGGCACCTGGGTGGCTCAGTGCGTTAAAGCCTCTGCCTTTGGCTCCGGTTGTGATCCCAGGGTCCTGGGATGGAGCCCTGCATCCGGATCTCTGCTCAGCAGGGAACCTGCTTCCTCCCCCACCCCTCCCCCACCTCCCCTCCATCCCGCCTGCCTCTCTGCCTCCTTGTGATCTCTCTCTCTGTCAAATAAATAAAGTCTTTAAAAAATTACCTTTGAATGACTAATGGGGCATCAAAATATCGGTGACTACATTTGATCTAATATTCTTGTTATTCAGCAGATACGGCTTAAAAGTTAAAGCACTTTTAAAAGTTCCAAATGTTAAAGAATATAAATGCTTAACTGCTAATATACTTAGTGCTTCCTTGACTCTCATCTGTTTCAGCAAATATCTATTGAGTATTTATTATGCCCTAAGCAATGTTGTTGTCACTTAAAAAAAAGGTCACATCGTCACCTTCGTGGAACTTATACCATACTAAGGGGACACAGACAAGTCAACAAGCAATTATTAATTCTATTGCTAACTTACTGATATTTTCGTTGATATTCCACTTATTTTAATTGAGTTTTTCTTAATCAAACACTAAAATTCTCCTGGTGGATAAATAAAAGGAGAATTTAATTTAATAAAGCAATGGTCATAAAAAGTTGCATAAATGCAGCCTAATGTAATGAAATACAGTTGACCCTTGAACAAAAGTTGGAGATAGGTAAGTCCAGTTTTATGCCGGTTTTTTTCAATCAATACAGTGCCCTACAGTAAATGTACTCCTTATTCTCTTAATAATGTTTTCTTTAGTTTGCTTTATTGTTAGAGTACAGTGTATATTGCATATAACGTGCAAAATATGTGTCAATCAACTATGTATGTTATCAGTGAGGCTCAATAGTAGGCTCTTAGTAGTTAAGTTTGGGGGGAGTCAAAAGTTATACATGAATTTTCAAACACGTGGTTGGTACCCCTAATTCCCATGATGTTCAAGGGTCAACTGTAATTTCAATGATGACCTTAACTATTCTGAATATAAACCTCATTAATTCTAAGTTCATCATCATTTTGAACAGAACTCAAGTCTGTGTTCCTGGAAGACCAGCCACATTTTATATTCACCGTGGCCCTACTGCTGGCAAGTGTTTTCATTTACTTGATGGGATGTCCCAGACCCTCAGTAACCCAAAGATGATAGTCTTTCTTGCCCTTACTTTTTTCCAGGCATCAAAATTAAAGTATGGGTAGGAAACACAACAGCAGATTTTTTTTGTTCTAATTTCTAAGACACATTCCTATGATCTCAATAGTTAGTCTAAGATGGGTAAAACCACCATGTTGATAGAGAAGAGGTAAAAAATCCCAATCCAAATGGAATATTAATAGATTTCCCAGTTCCCCCAACTCCCACTCCACAAAAGCAATTCAACAAAAGAGGACCTTTGCCTTGAAGAATTAATGTACTTCATCTTACCTAGTCGGCTGACCCTCTATCCACTCTTCTCAACTTGACTATTTAAAGTTTCCCTTACTTACAAAATTCAAATCTTGGCTTCCTTCAGCTCATCATGCATAGCTCCTGGGCAGGTCCTCCCACTCCCCTGCTACCCAGGCCTGGATCCTAGAATCCCAACTGGAGTCAGAACTGTGCCCTCCCCACCTCCTTTCACCTGGGTAATTGAGCCATAAAAAATTTTAGATCAGAGTATGGCTGAGGAAAGTGCTCTATAATTGAAATACGGCAAGTACAAAGTGCTTCATAATCACTATTAAAAATAACTTTGGGGGGCATCCAGGTTTTTGTGCTGCTCTGGCACTCTAGGACATAATACTAAATCTGAACAAGAAGCAGGGTGAACCTTGTAGGGGTAAGGATGAAATGTCAAACACATAGACACTCCATTGCCAACTCCTAGATCTTCTATGTTTTGTTGGTAACAGGATTGTGAACTGTTCCAAAGAGCTGTTTGAGTTGGGGAGCTGAAGTGCAGGGTGATTGCTGTTTCCGGGGTTGAAAGCAAACCAGAGCACTGCAGAGAATAGTTCTGTGTTTCAGTTTTTCTCCCTCCATTTAAATCTTCACAGCAAACTGGGCTAGGAGAAACGCTTTGAAAAGAGCACAAGGTTGGGTATTTATTTATTTTGGTAGTAACAGTTATCTATTCACAGATTGAGAACAATTAGTTACACTAGATTCATTGTAGGGAATACAATGTAATCAAATTCACAAGGCAGGATTATTTTCCACCCAAGTGAATAAACTGCAAACTCGGTGGGGGTGGGGGTGGTAATTCTTGTATTAAAGGGTTGGTTAAAGGAGACAGGATTCTTCAAAAGAAATTGAAGATGGAAAATGGGAGATAGTGGTGCCATAGAGATTAAAAAAAAAAAAAAAGGAGGGTCTGAATATGGAGGGAGAGAGATTCATGGGTGTCCTTTGGGTTTACAAATTAGGGAGTTACTGGTAACCTATTTGCTTGTGGTAGTCTGATGAGCATTTATTTGAGACATAGAATAAGCAGACCTCTGATTTATGGAAGAGGAAAATAAGGAACCTGAAAAACATTATATACTCTGTATTATTTGACCTTGATGCTCCTCACCCACAGTTGTGTTCCAGGAGTGGTAGTGATATCCCCCCTCTCAGTCCTTGGTCTATGCTTCTCTAGCAAGTGAATTCAGAAGATGATTTGCTGAGATTATGGGTTCATTGAGCCTCCACAGATTTTCTGTCATGGAGACAATTAGTCTTGCGGTCACCACAAAATATTTGACATTTTCCTCTTTGTTAAATTCATACCCAAGTCAGTTAAGACCTTGGAGTCCCTCGGAGCCCTAAATGTTAAAATTACAGTAATATTAAAATCCCAGAGTAGAGATCCTATTGTTATTTACAAATATTTTGTGTTTAGCATTTTAAAAGTTAGGTAAGTCATTGTTGACTTTTCAGAAAGACTTTGCAAAGGTAAATTGATTTTCTTTTTTCATAGACTATGATGAATAGATAATTGGAAAAGATAGATTTCCAGAGGGAGAAAGAGGGTTTCTTCAACGGTAAGCTTCCCATTTGTATTGCATGAATTGTCTGCATGCCTTTTCCTTCCTCTTATTAAGCAGCTGTTAAGAAATATAATCAGAGTTATTAAGAAAGTAAGTGGAAACCAAATCTGTACAATGTAAATGATTTTCAGTGCCTGAAAACATTTAATAGAAGGCAGCAGAAAAAGGAAATATAACGGCTTATTCAGCCTGCCTTATTGGAAATCTGAGCTTCATTGACGAAGTATGTCATATTGGACAACTAACTAAATCTGTCTCTGCTTTAGTTTACTCATTTGTTAATATTAACTAATAATAATGACTAAATCGTTGGATAGCTCTGAGGACAAAATAAGTTTTACAGGTAAAATTTTTGGAATTTTCTCTGACATTGTTACTACTGTTACCACCAATGTTACTAGTGTAGTCACAGAATCTTGGCACTTATATCTCAGTGTATAAAAGTCATCCTGCCCAAATCCTCATCTAGTTCTTGCACCCTCTTATCAACATCTCCAGCATGTCGGATGATGAACGGCTTGGGATTGTGACTTGGATGGAAACAGTTGCTAATTTGGCTTGGTGTGTGTGTGTGTGTGTGTGTGTGTGTGTGTGTGTGATGCAAAGTAATTCGTGAATTTAAATGATTTCCTCTTTATTTTCTTGCAACTTAGCTTTCCCCTCCTCTCCCTTTCCCTGCCCTTCCCCCTTCTTTCTCTTGTCTTTCTTGCTCTTTCCCTTTCTTCTTTTTCTTCTTTCTTTCCTTTCTTTTTCCTTCCTTCCTTCCCTTCTTTCTTCCTTCCTTCCTTCCTTCCTACCAGAAGCAGACTCATCAAAGAGGAACTTGATGATAATAGGATTGTTTAAAATGTTCAATGCCTTCACATGCTGTGTTGTTGTCTAACTTTTGTACCAGAGCATTTCACTTTGAATCAAAATGCTGTTGCAGGGGAAAAATATTTGCAGAAGAGCTTGCACTATACAGTTGACCCTATAATAATCATATAAAGACTTTTAAGTATATAATGTTAAAGACACAATTTTTTAATGCTTTTTGGTTAGATATTCTGTTAAAAATGAAACAGTGAAATATTATAACTAAAATATTATAAAATATTATAATTAGACCTGATATTCCAGTCTTCTGATATTCTGCCAAACTTCAATATGGCAACACCTTAAAATCTTAGAATATGACATTAAAAACATACTAGCACAAATTATAGAAATACTTAGATTCTTTTTCATATCTAATTACTAAACTTAAAGAAAAGATAGTGAATTCTACTAAGAGAAAAGGAATTGGCCAGGCTTGTTAGGACATAAGACTGTGAGGAGAGAGACATAAAGAGTAAGACTGGGACTGGGGAAGTTTTCGTTTGGGTGATGAGAAGGGGTTGAGAAAGCATTTGAAGAAAGCAGCTGTCTTATTAAACTGGGTTCCCCGCTAAATAGGCTCCAAGGCAGAGACTGGCCTGCAGGACTTCCTTGGGGAATGCTTGTAGGAAAAACAGTTGTGAGAGAGAGAAACAGACTTGGGCAGACGGAACAGTTGAATTGTCATATGGTCACCATTGAGGCCTGGAACAATCTTATGGTGAGCTCTGGAACCTGAATGGCCTCCCTAATTGAGGTATAGGAGCCCCAACTCCAAAACAACCGTCTTAGATGTGGGACACTTTCTAAAAGAAGGCTTAATGTTGAGTGAGGCGACTCCCTCTGAAGGCAATTGCTAAAAAGAGTGTGGCAGCTGGAAGAATGAGTGCCATGATCCCGAAGGGGTGGTCTGGGCAGGGCCCTGGAGCATCTACCATAGCAGCTGTTACTGATTTGCGGGAATACTAAGAATAGTGATGCTGAGAAGCCAGGATTTTGACATTTTCTACTGCTTATTAAGGGCACAGTCCTCCTTTACCACTTTAATGCTTTCTATACAACCTAAGTAAATATTGACATTTCTTTTAATTCTATCTTTCCATCATCATTGAATTGATGATGATGATAATGATTTGACCCAGTGCAGAGACTGGGTCAATGAGATCAGTTTTATTTTCAGATTAAATAAATTTTGGAATGGAATTAGTTGTGATAGTGACTGGGAAGAGAAAGATATATAAACTGATGATAATAGGTTTACTCGAAAAAGAAGGTAATTGAAAAATAGGATGTCTTGAGGAAGTAGAAACAAGCAGATCTAAAAGGACAGAAACTGGGCGAGTAGACTGTGGCCAGAGAGTATAATTTCCTTCTAGAACACTGAGAGATACAACAGTTTAAAAGACAGAATAGCAAACATTTTCTATAAAGGGCTGGATAGTAAATATTTTAGGCTTTGGGGGTCTTATCTTCTACTCAGCTTTGCTGTCATTGTGCAAAATTAGCCATAGACAATACATGAACACATATACATCCACTGTGTCCCAATAAAATTTTATTTACAAAAATATGCAGAGGGCCAGACTTGGTCTGAGTTATTTTTTGTGGACCCCTGGTTTAGATGACAGGAAAGACCACTAAATGGCTGTGCTTGACTAACTTGTTACACTGATTTGTGATTTTTTTTTTTTTTTTTTTTTTTTTTTGGATAGAGAGAGTGTGTGCACTAGCAGGGGAGGGAGGAGAGAGAGAGAATCTTAGCAGGCTCCATGCTTAATGTAGAGCCCAATAGGGGGCTCTATTTCACTACCCTGATATGAGATTATGACCTGAGCCAAAATCAAGAGTCAGATTCTTAACCGACTGAAGCACCCAGGCACCACTGTGACAATTTTTTTAAAGATACCAAGTAAAATAGCCAGAGGAAGATACAAAGAAAAAGCTAGAATAAAGTAGGCACTTGTACCTCATAATCCTATCACTTCTGTCACATGGTTGATTATGCACAGCCTTTCACTTCATGATTTCCTAAGTTCTTCATGCTTCACATTTATATGCTTACTTTGGAAATAATCAGTTTTTTGAGATAGAAGCAATGATTAATCCAACCAACATGTGCTGCTCTGATAAATCCAAATGGGTTTCAACAAACACATCCTAAGAAGTAGCTAATCTCATGATAAGAAATGTAGCAGCAACCCAAAGGAATAGATTAGACTTCTGGAATACACATGTGACAGAGAAGGGATCTTTCTACATAATTTGTGTGGTTTTTGACAAATCTTTTACCCTCCTATACTTTATTTTACAGCTACCTGATAAAAACACATTTGGTTCTTTTCCAGAGTTTTAAAATCTATGTGACACATTTTAAACTCATTTGAAAAGGATGTTCAGTGCCTTTTGGGAATAAGGCAGTATTTTTCACAATTTGCCACCCAGCCAAACCCACAGACAGGGATGTGTCTAAGGAAAGCCTTTGTTGGACGGTAGGAGAGAAGAGAGTAACAATCACAATTGTATAGTCATTAGAAATTTGCTTCAGAATTTCATTCCCTTTTATAATTTGGGTGCCCAAGTAATTAAAAAGGGAGACTCAGGAGAAGTCTTTATATCTCTTAGCTGTCTTTCGGGAAACATGCACTGTTGAATTACATATTAGGCATAGCAGAGCCTAATGAGCAAACTGTGACTGGTAATCGAGGAGAAAGATTTAACCTGTGTTTCCTTCTGGTGGCAGAGAGCAACATTTACAAGGCTGAGAGTGAGTGGCAGAATGACAATAGCTTTGTTAACCTGACTCTGTAGATTAGACGATCCTTGCCTGAAATGCCAGCGTCTGGTTGGCTATAAGAAAATGCCTTTTTCTCCTTTCACTCACCAGTTTTTCTCCCTCCATTTAAATGGTAATTACACATTTATAATGCATTGCAAGTGTGTCTAGTTTTACTCACAATCCTCCAGGAGCTCTAGAAACTAGTACTTATTTATAATGGAGGGATACTCTTTTGGAGTTATTTCTTTGCTTGGGAATATATTTTTTTTATAAATTTTCAACATTCACCTGCATTTTCCCCCATCAAAACCAATAGGATTTTCCCAAATAGTGAGCATGGCAAAATTGAATAATGACATTCAAGTCATGTGACTTTAAATAATATCTGTATTTTAAGTGTTTTTTAATTATCTCGGTAGTTACTGCATGTCAATTCCGTATTGAGTATTGTTTTCTCATATATAAGTCAGGCAATTTCTAGTAAAATCACCAACCCCTAACTTTTCCTTTTCAAAATTATACTCTTGTATTCCTTTAAAATCTAATGTTAATTCTGATCCTGCATCTTTCCTTTTCCCTGTTTCTCTCTGTGCATGGCATTTAGTTCAGATTCATTTTGGCATTTATATCAGTACCTACTTATTTCTTTAGGTACAGGATTGTATCTTGACCTTCCAAGCTGAATGCAATAGAAGTATCAGGTGGGACGCCTGGAAGGGTCATGATCCCAGGGTCCTGGGATGGAACCCCACATCCCATCGGGCTCTCTGCTCGGCAGGGAGCCTGCCTCCCCGTCTCTCTGTGCCTGCCTCTCTGCCTACTTGTAATTTCTGTCAAATAAATAAATAAAATATTAAAAAAAAATAGAAGTATCAGGCAAAACATAATGATCTGGTGAAATGAATAAAGACAAGTACTAAATATAGACCCCTCAGCATATTCCTGACCTAGTTATATTTATATAAGCAATCATTTTATATCAATAACTTTTATCTTTCTGATATAAAGATCATTTTAATGTTAAACTCCATCAAATTCTTGGAAAAACAAGCTTCTTTTTTTTTTTAAGCCAAGTTATTTATAGGATTATGTAGGATTGTGTGGTCAATTTGTAAAGAAAAAAGTTGACAAAATATAACGCAGGAGTAACACTTTTTTCTATAAATGTATACAGTGATGGTTCTATCAAAAGGATATCTAAATGAAATAGAACCACATAAATGACACCCTGTGACTAATAAAGTAATAATAATTACTATTATAATTATAAAGGGAGTAGTATTTTTTTTTTCTTGAGGGACACTAAAATATGACAAGTGATTTTTTTGGTGGGGGGAGCAGGGGAGTTAGGCGGTCAGGTTTA